CGGGGCCCCCCCCTGCAGCCTCCAGGCTCCCTCCGAGGTCCCCGCGGTCCCACTCCCCTCTTCCGGAGGCGGCGCCAGGTGTGCGGCTCGCACAGGTGAGGGGCGGCGCCGCGGAGGGGCCGAGCGCCCCCTGGTGGCCGGGCGGCGTGCAAGGAACGTCGCCTCCGCCCTGGGAGGAGGCCGAGGGCCAGCCCGGGCTCGAGGCCCTGGCCCGCCTCGCTGAGGTCGGAAACGCCACCCGCCCGTCTGTGTGCAGATCCCGCACAGACCACCGCTGCCCCTGGGGGAGGACACGGCTGACCACCGCGACATCGAAGGCGGCCGCGTCGGCGCTCTGCTGGGGAAGCTTTCACGCCACCCTAACGAAGCCGGATAACGGAGGGCCGGGTCGGCTGTACAGCTGAGGAGGCCGAGGCCGGGGAAGTCATCTCGCTTGCTTGGGGTCCATGGATAGAACTCGAACGTGAACCCCAGAAGTGTGACTTTAGGGTGCTGCTCTTCACTGATTCCGACCTGCAGATGGGGACACGGTGGCTGACAGCTACCAGGATCTGCTGTAGCCACTCCTAGGTCTGTGGCTCCAAACTTGGGGTTCTCCGTTCCTGAGCTGGGCAGAGCTGGCACCATGCCCCAGACAGGGACAAAGGCCTTGGCGACAGGAGGACCAGGACCCGGGACGGGGTCCAGTGCCGATTCGGCTTGGGCACACAGGCAATGCCCCAGCCACGACCTCAGGGTTGTCACAATTTCCTGAGCTGTGGGAGAGCGGGGCGGACGGCAGGCTGGGAACAGCACGGTGCTGGGAAGTCTAACCACAGGCTCTCTGGGGAAACCAGAAGCCCAGACGTGCTGGTGTTCCCATTCCCATGGTGTCCGCACCCCCTGGCTGCAGTCCTGAGCGTGAGGCTGGCCGGACAAGGCCAGCGGGTCTAGGTGCCTCTGGCCTGAGTCTTTGGGGTTGGGGGCCTATGTACCTGGGCTCTAGAAAACCAGGAGGGTGGGTGCTTGGAACCCTGACCTGAGGGAAAAGGGTGCAAGGACCCCTCGGAGGGGTGGTCAGGGGCTGGGTCTCCTGCCAGCAGAGCATGGGAAGTGCCAGCCCCTCTGCAGAGGGGGTCGAGACTCACCTAAAGCTGCCTGCCTAGCCAGGCTGCCATTGTCCCGCTGCTCCTGTGGGGACAAATAGAAGCTCAGGGTACCCTCCAAGTGCCAGAGTCACCCTGAACACTCTCAGCACAACCTTCTGAGCCCCCTCCCAGGGATCTGGAACAGAAGGAGGTTCAAGTCCACCCAGGCCTTGGGAGGGCAGAGACCCATGAAGCAGAAATGAACCCTAAGACAGCACAGCAAAGGGGCACGGCTCACGGGCACGGGCGTCACTGGCCTCAGTCCAAATTCCAGTCTGGCCTGTCAGATGTGTGTGTCTGTGACATTCAGCTGGTTACCCCTGTGGCCCTCAGATTGCCGTCTGTGGCACGGGGCACTAATAGCTCCTAGCTGCTAAGGGCATGAGGATTAAATGAGGGGGAAGTGGCAGCCCGGAGCCCAGGTGGGAACCCCACAGCCACACAGGGCAGGGGAGCCACATGGGGCAGGACGAGCCCCTAGCAGCTGTGAGCTCCCAGTCACGGCCAGGAGACCAGCTCGGAGACGCGGAGCATTTGTCTGCAGGTATCGCAGACCCCTCATTCCAACGTGCCCGGCTTCCAGTCCCGCTCAGTCTTCGGACACTTGAGTGTGATCCCCAGACTCCTGTGGTCCCAGAAGTCCTGGCCACCCAGCAATCTGAAGCTCAGAGATTTACCTCCCCTCACCAGGAGGACGGCAGCAAGGAGGGACACGGAGTGGCCCCAGGGCAGCCCTGGGGAGTCTGGGGCCCTGTCAGAGGAGAACCAGGAGGGCAGTCCCCCTCCCTCATCTCTCCAGCCTGCTTCCCAAACAAGCCAGCCTCCTGGAGCCCCCTCCCAGTGCTCCGCCTGCAGCGTCCTCCCCACCTTCCCATCCACCTAAGGAGCCCTGGTTGGAGCGGAGGGTGGCCTCCTCCCTCGCAGTCCAGGCTGGGCATCCTGAGGCCCGCGGGACACTCTCCAGTGCCACCCCCGGCCCCTCCTCAGAGGCTCAGAGGTCTTGAATGGCTTGGTCCCAGACCAAGGCGCCCAGGCTTTATGGCATATAGAAACCCCATGAGCAAGCAGTATTGCTGGAGACATGTGGAACCTTCATGTAAAGTATTTCACATAAAAGCCTTGTGATCCAATTCACCTAACTTTTTGTGTGTGGTTTTTGCCAGAAGATATATGCACACACCAGAAAGCGGAAACACGAGAACTCACCCCCAGCAGGGATGTCCACACTGCTGTTCTTTCTTCTGCAGTCTCCTCTCAGGATTTGGGCACGCCTACACTTGCCCCCAGTGCATTTCTCAAGCTGCCAGATCCAGGACTCTAATGGTAGTTGGCCATGTGGGAATCCAGGGCCTTACCCACCATGCCGCCTGCTGGCCCCTCCTTTAAAAATAAAATATTGGGAGAGGTTTTTGCTATAGGGAGCATGTGCTCACCAGAGAAATCTGATTTCTCAGAAAGCGAGAAATCACCCCCCAGGGAGGATGGCCATGCGGCAATCCCTTCTCCTCCATTCTCCTCTCAGGACCTTCGGCATGTACACACACACATCCGGCGTGAGTTTAAGCCACCAGGTCCGGGACTCGAACCCCAGTCAACTACATGGGAGTCCAGTGACATAGCCATTACCCTAACTGCTGGTTTCCCCATCCTTTAAAATTTTAACCTGTTTCCGGGAACAGCAGGTGGCATGGTGATTAAGGTGCTGGACACTCCCACATGGCTGACCATGGTTCAAGTCCTGGACCTGGTGGCTTGCTTTCTCACTTCCCCTCTTTCTCTGTCTCTGTGTCTCCCTCTGTCAAATTAAAAACAAATGAATGAATGAATAAAATTTTAAAAGAAATTTAACCTGTTTCCAAGTTTTTTTCTCCAACTTAGAAAAAGGACCAGCTGGTGATATGGTGGCTATGGTGGCTGGGTCTGACATGGCGTGGCTCTAGTCCTGGACTTGGTGGCTTGTGTGTGTCCAAAATTCCCAGAGGAGAATGGAGGAAAGGAGGTTGCGGTGTAGTCACCCCCTCGCGGGAGCTTTCTCACTTTTTTCCTTTCTCTGTTACTCTCTGGCAAAATGACCCTATCGCAAATTTTAAAAAAATGGCTTCGTTGAGGTGCATATTAGTTTCCTAGGACTGATCCAACAGATTACCACAACGGGTAAGTTTCCTCTCGGGGTTTTGTACACACATGCGCCCGGCGTGGTTTGTTAGCTATCGGGTCTGGGACTCACACCGAGCAGCCAGCCACAGCAGTGTCACGTGCATGGGACCGCACTGCCTCAACTACCACACCACCACAGCCGGCCTCCCCTCACCGTCTGTGTGTTTCAGGACAGTCACCTTTTTTCTCCTTGTAGGTTTTTTCAATAGGGCAGATGCACTTGCACACACCCTCAGGGCATGATTTTCGAGCTACCGGGTCCAGGACTTGAACTGTGGTCGATCATGTGGGAGTCCAGTGATGTAACCACTATGTCATCTGCTGACCCTGGGAATCTTTCTTTAGCTGATACTTAGAATCAACAAAAGAGGAAATGATAAACTTACTTCCCTTCAGAAAGTTCTTAGAAAAATATTTGATAGGAGCACGTGGGCGGGAAGATGGTGGCCGGGTTCAAAACCGGGGCCCCTCTGGAGCATTACAGATTTCTGAAGAACTGCCGACCCGATGGAAGAGAACGTGAACTCAGAACCACAGCTGTCAGCATGGGTTCGGTCAGTGCTGCAGATGGGTCTGCCTTAGTGAAGCCGGAGCAGCTACCGTCATTTGTGGAGTGCCACGGAATTTGCAGCACCACCCCAGATGCCCCTGGTAAAGGCTATGTGGCTCCTAACGTGGGTCTACCACCCCTGTTCACCGAGACTTCGGTCAGGACCCCCTGGAGAAGAGGCCCCAGTGGCCAGCCAGTTCATTACAGATGTCATTGACGAGTCACGGATAATTCAGAAAGCGGACTTAGGCACTTCTCCAGGAGAGCCCGCTTGGGTTCTGCGCTGTGAGCTCGTGTGCGTGGACTGTGATGGAAACACGTGGGGTGCC